AATATAAGATAGATTTCAAGTATATGTTGATAGATTTCAAGTCATAAAATCCAAAATTCAAAACCAAATTCAAACCCTAAAATCATTGCTATTATAAGCTAGGTAATTATTGCAACCTATTTAATGACTAGTGTTAATCAAAAGTTCTCTCTCATTATCGGGAGTAATTAACCTTAGGGGATTGCGCCTATGAGAAACTAGAACTCCGATCATATAGTCCTCTCAAAATAAGGGCAAAATCTTTGGGTAGTGTCTTATGTAAAACCTAATCCGCCTTCTAAAATTTACCCCATAAATTAAACTCGTTAAAACTCTCCCAATTAATAAAGAGGCGTGGAGAGGACTGGGCACGAATTTTCAGAGTCCACAGGAGGCTCCACATGATGGAGATGCTTACGTCTCTGGTTTAGGGAATACACCTTTGTTTAGCCAGTAGATTGTTGCATAGCTTGGTCTTTGGTCGAAGGTGTGCCCTCTCCTACTATGGCTCAATCACTTGTTATGAAATTAAAGAAGAGAGCTTTAAGCCTGCATGAACTAGCAAGAATTTAAGTTAATACATAAATGAGAGTAAAACAAAGAAGCTGATGATGTTATTGATAGGAAATACTTGAGTTCGCAAGTAATCCTAAGGTAATACTTGAGTTCGCAAGCAACCCTAGTCAAAATCAGCCCAAAACAGTGAGCAAAACTGCTGTCCCAGCAGTTTTACAGCAGCTCCGCAACAGGAAATGCACCCAAACAGAGAAAAATAAGGAAAAGAAACAAGGTTTCCACTAGTAGATGCAAGAAAACAAAGAAAGATACAACGTCCTTCGATTCGAGAGGAAGAACAACTCTCCACAAGTCTCTAGAAAACCCTAGAGCTCAAGCACACAATGAGATCTCAAACTTTTCATTCAAATTCAAGATGAGGACCTAATTCCCCCCTTTCCCCCTCTTTAACTCTCATCCCCATACAAAATCCCTAAACAGCCCTTCTATTCAAATTTCCCCCCCTTTCCATTCAAATTTTCCCTCCAACCCTTGAATTAACTCCATGTGGGGACCGCCGAGAGTAAGTAAGGACCGGAGGGGCCCGCCTAACAGTTATCTCTGGTGCTGTTGGCCTATGAAGTATTGCGGCGAGCTCTTTGACCTTCTGCAACTCCTAATTGCTACACATGACACTTTTATTTACGAGATCTTTGCTCTAGAAAAGTTGGAAATGATGGCCATGTTGAGGTCAATCAATTATAGTTAACTTCTGTGCGACTATGAGAAGGATTAAAAAAAAAAATTTAAACTTGATGCCAAGTCTAAGAAGGTGAACCCATGTCATAGTGGCAACATACATTCGAGTCTCCAAGAGGACTTTGAGCACTTGACTAACATCAACCATACCAAGAATAAGAGGTGATCCATCATACCTAAACCCTGGGAGAATCAAAATTGTTGAGTTACCTACTTGAGTGATATCCTTATAAAATAATCGAGTGGTTAATAACATAACCATCCAAGTCTCGTGCTAATAAAGTGCTTTGCAAGTTGTAATGATTGCCCTCTAAAGAGTAAAAATAATTCTACCTTGACAATCTTTACCATCAATTATGTTAATCCAGTCATGCTGTCTAAAATACCTCACACATTTGGTTAGCGTACTAAGGAGAATCGGTCATCTTGAACATAAAGGGAGGCTAACTCTAAAATAGCCTTGAGAATTTTGTATATCATGCTAAGAATCATTGGCACTAAGGAGATGCCCTCACCACATGAAACAGGGCTAGCAGCTAGCAAAACAGTAGTTTGGATAGATCCCTCTCTAATGGTAAACTCAAAAGGATTATATTGTAACATCCTGCGATGTCCAGTCTACCCTCCTAAATAAAGTTGCAAATTCAAGTATATAGTGGAATAATATCTTGAGAATGTGTTGACAACCCCACCATCTTGTGAGGCAGCCACTAGTGGCATAAAATCTTAGGAAAGACTATTGGCATAATCAATTCCCCTCATATGTGACCATTAGCTAAAGTTTATGTTTTGAGAAGCTCCTCATTCGGCGATATACCCTCTTCATATCGAAGAATGAATTTTAGCAATCTAGATACGATATGTAACTCCCATATTGTGATAGTTAGGGCCTCTTGGTCCATCTAATAAGTGTTTGGCAGAGTGTTAGAACTCAACCACGCCTCCGATCAATGATGGAGGGATGCCCGCCCTCAAAACATAACATGAAGTGCACAAATTCGCTTAACCTCCCATCTCCTTCAAGGTGTTCTTGTGTGCTGGCAAGATGTATCAACAGCGGCGGAGTGAGGGGGGGGCCCACGGGGGCACGTGCCCCCCTCGATTCGGATATTACCCCAGGCTGGTCGCTGTTTTAAAAAAAAAAAAAAAATTGCAATGCCAAAGCCCTAAGTCCCGAACCGACTCGTTGCGATTGACGGCTTGACGACGCGAGAGCGAGAGGCAGGCTTCCAGCGACGACGCCATCGACGCGTTCCACGCTTCCAGGGGGCGATCGCGTTCCAGCGTGCTCGACTGCTCGGTGGCACGGTGCTCCAGCCTCCAGCGACTGCGGATTGCTTTAGGTAAAATGAAATTTTTTTTTTCAAATTTATGTTTTATTCTACATTTCTACTGCATTCTTGATAGCTTTTATGTGTTATTCTTTGATTTATTTTCAAGTTTATGTTTTACTCTTATGTGTTAATTAACATAAGTCTTAATGTGTGTCTTTTAATTTGTTAAGTTCTTAACCGATTGTCGATTGATATTGCAAAATAATAAAATTTAAAAAACTCTTTGTAAATTTTAGAAAACCGATTTATAATTTTAACACAAAAGATTTTTCAACCACAAAACATTAAAGTACGTAAAATAAAAATGCAAAAAATTAAAGAGAATAAAAGAACACCAAGTTTTATAGTGGTTCGGTCAAACTAGATCTACATCCACTCCATGAAGACTCCCTCTTCAGGTATTGCACTATACCAAAGTGACTCTTCTTTTGCCCCCACAGCAAGGCGGATAAGCCTTGACAATTTTTCTCTCTTCCACCAATCCGCGGTGCTGCAAAGAACCGTCGTCCTTTCACACCCTCCAAGTGTCAGCAGAGAACCGTCGTCCTTTCACACCCTCCAAGTGTCGGCAGAGAACCGTCGTCCTTTCACACCCTCCAAGTGTCGGCAGAGAACTGTCGTCCTTTCACACCCTCCAAGTGTCGGTAGAGAACCCGCGACCGATGTTAAAGAATTTCACTTAAGAGCCTTCAGAGGAGATGAGCAGAAACTTGAAGGAAACAAAGAGATCATCGCTTTGGGTAACCTTGTGAATCCCTCACAACCCCCTCGATCACTTGATCTCTCACACTTCACTCTCATATTCTCTCCCAAACACTCACACTCAATGATCCCTCTCAAGATAAATTCACAACAAATGCCTTTCTTTGACAGCTTTTAGGACTTCTTATATAGAAAAGACATGAAAAAATCATCCAAAAAGTGAAATTTACAAGGAAACTATCATACGATCGTACTGTATGATCGCATATCGTCCTGTAAGAATGAATAGTGTCCCGTAAGAATTGCATGTACGAATGCATAGTGTCCCCGTACGAACACAGTGTCCTGTACGAATTGCTCGTACGAATGCATAGTGTCCCCGTACGAACACGTATTGTGTTGTACGAATCGCTCGTACGAATGCATAGTGTCCTGTACGAATCGTCCATACGAATTAAGTTCGTCCGGGACGAATAGTATGAAAAAATTTTCAAATTTCGTCTATACAAAACGTCAGGACGAAATGAGCAAGAACGGATCCAAGTCGTTCATCCTTGTATGAAATTGAGATCGTCCCATACGATCCATACTTAGAAAAATTTTTTCTGTGCGAGAACAGACCCGAGACGTTCGTCCTTGTACGAAACTGGGATCGTCCCGTACGATCCATACTTAGAAAATTTTTTTAGTGCCAGAACAGACCCAAGACGTTCGTCCAACTGCTCGTAAGAGTTTATGACTGAACAAATCGTCCCGCACGAAATGAATTCGTAAAGTACGATTAGTTTAAAATTTTTGCAAATTTTAAACACTCCCCCAGTGTGTGTATGCACAGTTACTTAATTACAATCACACTCTCTTAGACTCAATAAAATGAAAAATACAGTCTCATTTTACAATGAACCAAAATCTATTCTGATTTGAAGTCTTCAAAAATCTGAAGTATGATTTTTCTGAAATGTTAATATAGACACAAAACAAGTATATAATGAAAAATACTATTAAACATAAAGATGTGAGCCATAGTGTTTGTTATCATAAAAAATATAAACTCGTGAGCAATGAGTCGCAACATCAAGTTCATGATATGTACCCATAAGGCTAGAAAGCTTCCTTAATCAAGGAATCTTGAGGTCAGTGTGGAGAATCAGGCTATAACTAATGATGTCCCAAAGTTTGTACCACCCAGTTCACTCCACAATATCAACAATTGGTTTTAGGATGCTGCACATGTCGGAGCTCACTTGATCAATGGTGCTTTTTAGTGTGTTGAATTCCCCACACTTTTAACTTATGGTACTCACCCATTTTGTTGATTCCCTATAGATGAAAGTTTCAAGCTCACAAGATGGAAGCATGATTTGATTAAACAAGTTGCTGTCAACATTACGACCCTTCATATTTTTCTTGTGTTGCTCGAGTATGTTCTCAATCTCAACAACTCGTTGAGGATTATGTCTGTCTATCATGACCCAAATGGCCTCCTTAGTAAGCTTAACATATGGCATATTAGTGGGCCTTCTTTAGCTAAAATTTTCCATCTGCGTGTCTTGACCACCTTTCATGTTTGGGATTCCATTTTACTTTCTTTGTACTCCACCTTTTGCTGTCTGACATCAGTTTTTTTATTTGGAACTAATAAGCGGGAGATAAGTTGCTATCTGACATCTGTTAAATCAACAAAATTTATTAAAATCTTGTATCAATATGCAACTATTTTTCTTTGTTTAGAGGAAGATTGTTAACCGGCCCCTTGCTGGAACTGTTAGAAGAGGAATGTCAGAGAAAGCGGATAAGATGCAAGAACAGCTGCTATTGATAGATGAGAAAGAACGTGCTGAACACATAATGCTTGTAGATTTAGGACGGAATGATGTTGGAAAGGTTTGCCTTCTATTTTTCGTTATATATTTTTAGTTCAGCTTGTTTAGACTTTTACTACAATTTCTTTGTTCCGGGTCATTTTCTACTGTTTTTTTTCTCTGTTTTTACCTAATTAAATGATTAATCTATCTGAAGCTATCAAATTTAGTATACTTAAATACTCATATTTTAAAAAAAAGGCTGGATACTGACAGAAGAATAAAATTTTTAAGAGTACTCATTACTCAAGAGAGAGATTGCAGTATATATCTTAGTCATTTCTCTTACAGGATTAGTACAATATATTTATGTTTTTGTGAAGCTATTGTGCACATATTTGTCTTTATCTATATACATAATTTTAAGGGAAAGAAAATGAGAGACAATGAGAGAGCCCTTTTCAAAATAAAGCTCCCTGATAATTTGGATTTTTTATTCCTTGACAGAGGAAAAGAATATTATATGTATAAAAAGTCAAGTTACATCATTTTAAAACCATAGTGAGAAAGCCCCCTCCAAAATTTCAAAAACATTAGAGAACTTTATTTTAAAAGGAGTTTCTCTGAAAAAATTATGATTCTAATTTTTAAATGGAAGAAAATAGTATTTTTTTTAATTAAAAGTAAAAATTACATGTATATGATTTGTAAGATCTAATGTAATCTATCATATCTAATTTTTTTTATTTGAAAAGTTGGGTAGCGACATAATTACAGAATTATATAATTAGAAAAAAAGCAATAGACACAACATCACGGAAATAAGAGATTAAGCATGAGCTTTAAAAAGCTACAAATATTTGTTTGGTATATTTAAAGCATTTATCTTCTTTAAAATATGTCGCACTTCTTTTCCATGACTAGAATTCATGCACTTGAGTTAACGTGTTGAACTAGGTGGCAGAAGAGCCCGATCAAGATCATATGGTTATGCGTCCCGGGCTATCATGGTCCCTGGTCTACTTAGTAAGAGGAGGTATCGACCCAACTTGACAGAAGGCATTTCATCGGCAGCGATGTGTTGCTTCGTCCTAGTACATTTATGAGTATGTGTGTTTGAACATGCAAATGTCGTATATACCCATTGTACTGCATACATATAATCGTCGTACAAATACATTATGTAAAATGCACATAAAGAAACATGCAATTCAATACCCGCATGGGCCCCAATGAGCGTGATGTAAGCACACACTTGACGTTTGAGAATGCTGCACGGGTCAAAAGTGAACTTGTGACGCCCCAGGCATCCATAGTGAAAGGATTCGTCTGACATTCTGATCGAACTCCATTCCAGTTGCCTTGCTCGGACCTGAAATTGTCACCCACATATAATGAGCTTAAATAGCCCAGCAGGTCACCAAAGCTACAACTGAAATCAAAGCACGGTACTGCTATCAAATCCATAACAGTCAATGATCAATGAGTCTATGCAGCGGAAATCAAATCAGTAGTCAATGCAGTACGGAAATCAATAGTCGATGAAATCAATAGTCGATGCAGCGATAGAAGAACCGATAAATCAAACTCAATCAATCAGTACGTCAAATCTCAGAAGAATCCGTCGATCAGTCAAATCAATCGTATCGAATCAATCGATCAAATCAATACTATCTAGTCAATAAAATATATCGGAAAAGCAATACGATAAATTTCAATCTATACTAGCAATGAATCAAATGCAGCAGGTAATACGGTGCAGAAACAATAGAATGAGTCTAAAATCAATAATGTCAATGAATCTATAGTGTCAAGTCCATAGCATCAATTGAATCAATACAATATCTATATCCATCCATATCAATATCAATGCTCAATAGTATCAATGCTCAGCGATCAATCAATGAAATCGATTAAATCGTACAATACAGTAAATCCATAAATCCGATCAAATCAATAAAGCAGTAAATCCATAGGTCAATACAGCAAACATGCAGTCAATACGGTAATACTGGACAAGTACAATCAACTGGCTATGTTGCTGTTGTAGAATCCATATTGCTGTTGTAGATATCCATACGTTGGTTTCAATAAAAAGAGTCGTCACTCTATTGCCCGTCGGCCGCCCGTCGGCATTTCTATAAACCCCTTATGACTCCCATCCATATATCCATAATCGATGTTTAAAGGAAAGCCCGTCGGCCCACCATCCTGTACAGGTCAAGTCAATCTCCAACCAACGTTCAACCAGGTTCCACTTGTGTTCCAGTATCAATAATCAATCAATAATCAATTCAATAGTCAATATTAAAGCAATCATATCAATATTCACATTCATATCTATTCAATTTATCAATCTCAGGCAAATCAGAAATCCTACGAAAATTCGGCAGCGTAACGGCAGTCTATCAAATTTACACAAAAATCCTACAAAATCACAATTCACCAAATTACAACAGAATGTTCACGACAACAATATAAGACTATTCTTCTACTGAATCCATATCAAATAACATCCTGATATTTTTCTATTCAATTAAAATCGCGTAGAACCAATTCCGACCGGTAAAATCATCGTAGAAAATACTCAAATCGTGTACAATATTCATATCTATAACATTCTAAAAGTTGTGCGGTGAAAGTTGTGTCAATACCAGATCAGGTCCAAAATTCGACTACGAAAACACAAAACAGTGCACATCTCGATCAAAAATCAATATCTTTGAAAACAGAAATATGATTCGAAGTCCTTACCACGAGATCTACACTTTTCCCAACAGCTGCGTCGGACGAAAAGCGCTCCGCGGCCTCCGAAATCTAAGCTTTTTTCTCTTTTTCTTTCTCTCTCTCTCTCCTCAGATATTTTCGTCTTATAAAAAATATTTTCTCTCTCCTCAAAACGAGCTGATTTCCTTATAACCTTAGTCTGATCGGCCCGGCCGTTCGCCACATCGTCCTGGCCGATTCGAACAAAATCCAATCGGCCCGGACGATTCCTCAGGCCGATAATTAATTTGCCAAAAACCCTTGCTCTCGGGATTTTGCCAAGCACTGATCGTCCCAGGACGATCCAAAATCGGCTTGGACGATCCAGTCCAGAAATCATTACAGAAAACACTCCAGAAATCAACCGTTTTCAATGCACTGATCGGCCTGGACGATCTCAATATCGTCCCGGCCGATCCTGGGAGAAAAATCCAATTCAGAGAGGAACAGTAAGGGAACGAGATCTCACAGAACTTGAGTTCAAGTCCGATCCTCCTCTTTGAACGGACCAGAGTTGACTTGATTTGAACTAATGAACAAATACACGGTCGTAGCGCCGACCATAGTATTTGATTTTATATATTTATATTAGGTCTTCGAGGTCTATTACAAGAAATGTTCATTACTAAAAGCATAAAACTCTTTATTTTTAATATCCGTACGATAACTCACAATATCAATAATTGAACCTAATCCTCTTTCAGTGGGCGGTCAAAGTTGACATGATTTAATTGACAAATACACGACCTATTTAAATAACCCTGATGATGGTCGTGTTGAAAAAAATCTCAATCGAAGGGTACCCCAAATATTTAAAATGCCTCCCAAATTTTCATAAAATATAAAAAAATAAAGTGATAATAAAGTCACTCTAATAATGACCGTGTTAAAAGATAATCTCAATCAGAGGGGTTAATTTTTGAATTCTATCAAAACTCCAAAGCTTTACATCTAGTAAGTATATCAATATTTAAAATTGAAACTGATTATCTAACACTTAAAGCTAAAGATCAATCCATCATCCGCAATTGTTTGTCAAGGTGGAAACATTTGAAAAGCACTTCAGCTCACAAAGAGTAATTGTCAAGTCGAGAATATCACTATGATTTATTCTCAAACCATCTCTTGACAATAAGGACGTGGTACATGTCCTCTAATCGGTGGTTTCGTCGCCAAATGGCACCGCAGATAAAAGGTTATGACCGAGGCCCTATGACCCAGTGATTTTATCGTGAAATGGTACCACTAAATTACGGTCATGGCCAGAGCCCGTATGTTCTCCAATAACATTAAATTCTTGAATAATGAATCAATAGGGTATAATCGATAATGCACAAAGCTATTTGTTAGCTAAGGTGGACTTAAATCTGTCCACTTAGGTAGACATTCACTTCAAGTTTACAAGGTACCCTCGGACAACGTAACCCATGGTTGCCGAAAAAAAATCCTTCAATCAGGTTGGGTCGACTACCTCCTCTGACTAAGTATACTAGGGATGATGATGGCTTGGGATGACGGAACCGTGAGATCTTGATTGGGTTCATCATCATTTCCCCCACCATTCACTTTAAGTGCGAGGTGATAAATTTCAATTTTCAATATCAAATTATCCTGCTACTATACGCTGGATACTACGTATCTGTTCGATAACTATCCTTAATTGATAGTTCTCTCTCATTATCAGAAGTGATAATTAACTATAGCGGCTTGCGCCTATAGGAAAACCTAAACTTAGATCATAAAGTTATCGCAAAATGAAGGTGAAATTTTAGGTGATGTCTTATCTAAAACCCAATCTGTATTTTGAAAATTTACCTCGGAACTCAAACTCGTTAAAACTCTCCTCGCCGAAATACAAAAGAAAAGGGTAGCGGAGAGGTTGGGGTATGAATTTTTGGAGCCCACATCTTGCAATAATGATGTTATGTAATAAATGAATTGAAATCAATAACATGCCATTTGATGCATTTTTCTTAGATGAAAGACATTATATTTTAACATTGCCATTAATAAGTCCCATGCCCTAGATGAGAAAAATTGAGGCTTGCGTTAGGTAGTCGACAGCCAGCGTAAAACCCATTGAATAATTATGACATAAATCCTTTAATACATTGTGATAGAAAAGTACCACTCAAACTTAAGGAAAAATTTTATAAGATGGTGGTGAGAATTGCAATGCTTTATGGCGTAGAATGTTGGCAATTAAAAGAGAAGCCTGATATTAAGGCAAGTGTTGCTGTGCTGAGGATACTCAGGTGGATGAGTGGATTTACTCTTAAAGACAGGATACGAAATGAGCATATCCATAAAAAGGATGGAGTATCTCTAGTGAAAAATAAGATTAGAGAGAGTCGCCTTAGATGGTTTGGTCATGTAAAACGACAGCCTTCCGATGACCCTGTTAGGAGAGTAGATGTATTAAATTTGGCCTATGTTAAGAAAGGTAGAGGTAGACCTAACAAGACTTCGTTAGAAAATATGAGAAATGACATTTCTTTATTAGATTTAAATGAGAATTTGGCTCTTAAGAGGATATAATGGAGAAAAAAGATTCATGTAGCCGGCCCCACGTAGTGGGATAAAGATTTGATATTGTTGTTGTTGTTGAAAGACATTATATAGGTTAGAAATATGATTACCCAGTTCAAACTCAGAAGATTTAGTTTGCCAAGTGATACGTGGATTTCATTGTTCTTAGTTTAGTACCTATGATTGAAGCATAATTACACACTAGTTATTCATATTAGTAAATTAATTGATATTTTAAATTAATCATATTATTTTTTCATTTTAACTTTTTATCCTATTTAATATCTGTATACTCTTATTCAAGTATGTAAATCATACTTAATTAATTTTGCAATATCTAGATTTAGCATATTATGACATGTCATATAAATCCTTTATTTGATCTTTCAACGTAAATATTTCAAAAAATAATTTTATAACATAAAGACATAAAGCGTTAATTAAAGTCAAATCTAAAGTTGCTAATAAATTTTAGATTTATCTTTTTATATTAATCAATGTTTAATTCACTAATATTTGATCTAATTCTGCTTAGTAGATTTTATGTTTGCCACTTTTATGAAAAGGAAGGTAACAACCTGTAGACATTCCTTATGGAAACTTTTATCATTAAAATTCATCAATTAACAAGATTTAGTCTAAATTATTTAATTTAATTGCATTTTAGTTGAAGAAAAACCTTAACTTGTATTTTTAGATTTCAAATTTCTTTTAAATATCTATTCCCTAAAATAATACAACCGCAAATATCACTTTTATATTAATTAAGTTTTAGTTAACTGATTCTTGTTCTTCATGACATCCCTCTTAAATAACATTCCATTTTCTTATTATTTTTGTTTTTTTTCTTACAGTCAAACATCATAACCTTAAAAATTTCCTTAGTAAATATCATTATGCATAGGGGCATAGATCTAGATTTAGCAAATTAAATTGCTTTGATGGTGGAAAAAGAAAATCTGGGTTAGGATATACCTTGCTTTGATAGGAAGAGGAAGAGGAAGAGTTACAATTTTTTTTCTTCCTTCCCAAAACAAAATGAGTCGGACCTCTCCACGCACGTGCTTGTTGTATCCATGCGTGCCATGGTCGCATGGATATCCTCTGCTTTCCACCTCATCGATGCTTGCTCGCTCACCTTCATCTTAGTTTGCTCGAGCCATAACTTTCACCCTCTCAGTGTCTTGCTAATGCCCGCCTACTCTAGCTTTTTCTAAGGTTTGCTCGAGCCTTAACTTTTACCCTCTCAGTCTCTTGCTAATGCCTACCCACTCTAGCTTCTCGGGCTTGCTTGCTCTTGGTCACTTTCCCTTTCTTATTATGTGACTAATCGCACGGTCGCTCCTATTAATCAGATAGACATACAAATGTTTGATAGTAGTTATAAATTCACTTTTTTAATAATACTTTACAAAAAGTTACTTTATATCATTTTATTTATTATAAAACAAATTTTGATTAAATCTTGTTCTGTTAAAATTTCTTTCAAAATTAAATATTTTATAGAAGTTAATAATTATTCATTTTTCTTGAGTAATTTGTCATTTTAGACATTTCTATTTAAGCATCTTTGTAATATATAAAATTTATTCCTGAAAAAATTGAATTATTATTAATATTAATATTAATATCAACCTTTTAAATAAAGTTAATTTTTTGTGACTTTACACATTTGGTGCATGACATTTTTAAAATGCTTTAGTTTGAGAGAGATAGAGTGATGGCGATTAAAAAAAAATTACATCTAAAGTGATAAGAGTTGAGAGTGACTCTGTCCATTAGCTAAATATTTAGGATTTATGGTCCATTCACTAATATATTTAGCTTAACTTGGGCTCTATAGCTAATATATGAAAGAGTTTTAGATATATCCTGCAACGTCAGATTATGGTTTAATTTCCTTAATTGACATCTTATAGTGTTGTCCCATCATTTGAAATACTATCCATGTATAATGTTTAACTAGCTTTAATCATTGGATATGCTAATGTCTGTAGTTTTCACTTGAATGAGGTTCCTATTATATTAAGAAAAGGGAAATGTTTTAAAATTTACACCCTATTTCCTCCTTACCCCTTCCTGATCATTTTGAGATGGGCTTATGTAACAGGTCTCAAAATTTGGTTCAGTTAAAGTGGATAAACTGATGAACATTGAAAGATATTCTCATGTGATGCATATCAGCTCAACGGTAAGGCTAGTTTTATTTAAATTTGAAAGAGGGTTTTGGATGCTATTGAAAAATATTTGCATGTGACGCATATAAGCTCAACGTTCAGGCTGGTTTTATTTAAATTGGAAGAACTGGGTTGTGTATGCTTTCTCGTCTGGTTGTCAAAATTTATGCTTTTAGCACAAATTACAAACAAAAATCATCATTGTTGATTTCAAGCTAAAATGAAAAATGTTATCGCAAGTTTAATGAACTAAATCTGAATTTAAATTTTGCTATACTTTTGTCTTTCTCAAGAAGTGATGCACCACTAGATAATTTAATTTTGAAGAGAAGTAGTCAAAAGTTTTGGTCCGACCAACCCTTAGTGGCATGCCCCAACCTAACCCACTTGTGGTGACACTAAACAAGTGTCGACTAAAATCCAATAGTAAGATTAAATTTGCTACATGAAATTTGAGGGCTTCAGATGAGAAAATGAGAATTGTCGGACACAATAATTAGAAGAATACATATTCTTTTTTATATGAAACTAAATGAAAAGTGAAAAACTCCAAAGGCATTTGAGAAGGTAGAAAATGATTAAAATGGTTCCCCAATCTTTGTGGGGGTTTATTTTAGTTCCAAGCTATATAAAAGGTCTGATTTGGCCAAAAAAAACCACAGTTAAAAATGAAATATCTAAGGAATTTTTTTAGTAAAATCTAATTTTCAACTTACCTTGTTTCTTTGTCTACAACAACCTACTTTATATACAGGAGCGAATTGACATTATGCTGGTTGGGTAGAGAGGCTTTTTCTTTTTGTAATAAATAAATTTGTTTGATGTTTTTTTTTTTGTCTTGATTCCATCGTAATGAAATACATTGAGTTTGATTTTTTTTTTTAAAATTAGAATACTATATTTTAAACTTTTTTATATTGATTTTGTTAAAATTATTTTTATTAGTACAAAGTTTTGTAAAAAAATTCAAGTAAATATATATTCTTAAAATATCATATTTTTTTAATATTACTTGTTAACTTTGACTTCAATTTTCATTTCTTTTGACTACGTGATTGTTTTTACTCCTATTTAAGAAGTTATGAGTTAAATCCAACCTTTTATATAGTGAATGAGGTTGATATAGTCATGGAGATAGTTCAAAGATAAAATTGTTAAGGTCAATAGTGATTGTAATGGATTGATTTCCATTAAGGTTATTATCATTAAGGATGTCTTAATTGTGTTAGACTTCGCTCCTCATGTTGATTGAAAGATACTTACAAAATGAATTTTGTAAAGAGATAGCAAACTACTAAGATGTATGCCTAAGGAAAACAGTATTTATTGGAGGTAACTTGAATTTGAATGTATGTTCTTATAGGATGGATTATGGGATTCATGTTGAATATGAAATAGGAGATGAAATTATAAGTGGAAAAGTTATACTTGATTTCATAATAACTTATTATATTTTGCATAACAAGTATATACTTTAAAAAATTATAACCACATCTAATTACTAACAAAAGTGGGGCCAATAAATCTACAAATATACATCTTTGTTACTTTGATGAAAAGAAAAATCTATTTAGAAAGATTGTAATGTGATTCCAGAAGAGCATTCAATCAGATAACACAGGGTATTAGTTGGATGTATATATTAAGAGTATAAAGAAATCCATCAATAAAATAATTGCCCTAGGATAAGGTTGTGAAATTTGAATGGTGTAAAATTATTAATTTTTTAAGATAACTGTAGAAAATTTAATAAAAGATATTATAAAGGATTAAAGTTAAACTTTATTAAACTATAATTAAGTTGGCAATGTTTTATAAATCTGAGTGTTGGGCAATAAAAAAAGTGATTGGCAGTTAAGTCAAGTGTGGCAAAGATGAGAATGTTAAAATGGGTTTGTGAAAAAATTATCAAGGGTAAATTAAATAATAATTATATTAAAGGAATGATTATAGTGACATATATTGAAAATATATTATTGATAAATAGATTTGGATTTCTTGGGCATTACGCTTTAGGGTAGAAAATGTGCCATAAGATGAGTAAAGGACATTAGTATTGGAGGATTGGAAGAAGGGATAAACTTAAGGTGATAAGGATATAAGTTCTTTCAGATGATTCATAAATAATAAGTTTAGTACTCAACAAGAATGACTGGAACATTCGGATTCATAAAGCTTATCCCAAATAGTTGGGATAATGCTAATGATGATGATTGTCACAAATTACATGGAGAGGTACTTGATAGTTCACCTCATAACGTTGATTTATTTTGATGTCTTTTTGCAATAAGCTCATATTCCTTTTCATGTTCAGGTTGACGCGGAGATGATTAATCTTAATTATTTGTTATGTCTCAAACTCCCATCATTCATGCAATATTCGCCTCTCGTAATTCATTACTGCTTAGGTGCACGTACAGGTTCATTGTAGGTTCTACGGAGTAATATTAGTAACATGTAAGCCTTGTGGTTGCTGTTGATGTTCTGGGATCAAATAAGTTTGTATGTATGCCAGTATTTAACGGTTCCCTTTTCTCGAAGTACCATTACAAATGAATAAACTGAGTTTTACCTAGACTGACGATTGAAGTTGTGTTTAACTTCTAACTGTCCTGGCCTGCCTGAATGATCTTTTTGGTCTTTCTCTGGACAAATTGGATTTCCTCAAGAATTTGTCATTATGCAATTAACCACACCCTCCCCCCCCCCAAAAAAAAAAAAAAAAAAAATCAAATGTACGAATACAAGAGCCTCGTTTTTCCAAGGAAATTAGCACTTTTTATATTCAGGTAGCTATGTTTTAATTTTTGAATTAGTTCTTGGAAAATTCAGTTGTAGTGATCGTATTTTAATGCAGATTAGTGGAGAATTGTTTGATCATCTTAACAGCTGGGATGCTTTAAGAGCTGCATTGCCAGTGGGAACAGTCAGCGGGGCTCCGAAGGTCTGACTTTATATGGGTATTTTCATTTTTCAGCTGTTGCTTTAGTTATGCTTATTTTAAGCACGGAAACATTTTATTTTTACCTGATGATAAGATTGAACTTTTTTCCTACTTATTAGTAGAATCATGCGCTATCTTCTACTTCTAAGGGTTTTTGCCATACATACAGTTTCCTTCGTCATTAGCTTAATTATGTGGAAGTTGTGAATAGAACAGCTACACTCTTACACTTGAAAACCTCACTTTCTAGTTTATTTTGTGATGCTTCTGCACACCAGTGGTATCTGAAAGTTTGCTGTGGCATAAATCTCCTTTGTCCTTGATAATGCTGCACATTACATATAATTTTGACTGTGGTAATGATGAGGACATCGTCAGCGATTTCGACACATGTACCATCAGGAGATGCCGGAGATCGACGGCCGCGATCATGAGTTTTATTTTGAGTCATTTTATGTAGTAGTTTATTTTATTTTCAGTTTTTTTCCGCTTTTTCCCTTATGGGTATTTGGTTGCTATTGTAGTCCAAGGGGCATTTTAGTCTTTTATTTTTTTGTCATTTGGTGGCCTATATATATGGCCCTTTTCTCATGTAATAGAAGTTTTTGATGAATGAAAATTTGATATTTCATGTTCTCTTTGTGAGTGCAAACCTCCTCGATCTCTTATTGAGTTCGTAGGAGAAGCTAGATCTCTTTGTGAGTTCTAAGTCTTCTTGTTCTACTAATTTTCGTTCTTTATTTCTTGTGTTCGATTCGTCGTCGTGGAGATTGGACTGAAGCATTTGTGGAGAGTGGAATGGGAGGAGATGCATGAGGTTTGAATCCCCTTTGAATTACTCCAAGCTTTCTCCCCAATTCTCTGGCCGCCGCCTTCCTCTTCTTCAAGCCCCTTGCCGCCGGCCACCTTGGGCCGCCCAGGCCACCGGCCACCACAACTCCACCCGCTGGCCCCTCTTGGAGTTTTGAATTTGAAATTCAAAACTCTCATGAAGCTTTGATACTTTCCTAATTTAGCTCTTTAATTTGAGGTCTCCAAATTAATTAGATTTCAATTTGAATTCAATTTGGTCTTAATTAATACCCTCTTATTAGGAAACTTCCCTAGCTTAAAAACCTGAAATATATTTCAGATTTTTATTTAAAGCTTTTTTAGCCAAGTGGTCCCCACCTACTTAAGTTAAATATTTTCTCCCTCTCTATGCTTGGCCGGCCTTCCCCTTATTGTTTTTCTATTTAATTGCCACATCACCACCTCTTAAATGCTCCTAAATACCTTTCCTCTCAACGTAACTGCAGCTTTTATTCTAGATTTCAAAATCTAAGATAGGAAATCAGGATTATTCCCTCTCATTCATTAACTCCAGCAGATTTGGGAAAGAATTCCCAAAATCTCAGGGAATTAAAGCATAATTTAATTCCTATCCCTTCACGTGAAACTGAGCCATCAATTCCTTCCGTAGGCTGAGAGTGGCATTAGAAGATTCTGGTCTCAATCAGCCGCCTCCTCCTTCATTGTTTTGCTTGGAATTATTTCTCCAAAATCTCTCTGCTACTGGCCGAACTCCCCATGCTCTTTTCTTGGGTTGTCTCTCCTCAACTCTCTCTTTCTCTCTCACTCAACACCTTTGCTGGAATCAAGGCGTGAAGGCTCCTTCAAATTTCCCTTGCTCCTAAGCCATTCCTCTCAGGTTTTGAATAAGAAACCTGAAGAAAATTTCAGATTTCCTAAAGAGTATTTTTTCAGCTTTTTGGAGAGGAGATCCTCTCCCTAGCGAAGCCTCCGCTTTCGTTCTACATCAGTTTGGTATCAGAGCTTTACGCCCATTCTCCTTTAGGTATCACTTGACGTTTCCCAATGGACCCGATAAGACTCCAAAAGAGTTTAGATGACATCGTTAACCTAGTGGGCAATATGACTAGAATTATAACGGAAAAACCCGTTGACTATCCCCACTCTAATTACAGGCCCCACTCAGCTTATCACCCGAGACCTGAGCCTAGGCCTCCACGACCTCACTTAGAGTCACCTTATCGTCTGCCTACCTTTGATGGTTCTTTGGACCCTTACTACTTTAGGGAATGGGTTAGACAATTAGAGGACTATTTTGAAACACGACATATCCCCGAGTCCCACCAGGTTAGCATCGCTAAATCTCACCTCAAAGGTCAGGCTCTTCAATTTTGGGCAAGATTGGAAGATCATAAAGAGTCTCGCGGTGAGTACCCTACTTGGAAAGACATGAGGCGAGATCTTAATTCAAAATACTGACCCTCTACCAGTGACCACCATCTAGAGCCCGGCCCCACCTCTTCTGTTGGAACAAACCGTGGACATTACTGAGGTCGAGGCCACCCATCCTTTAGTAACGACAAGGTTGCTGTCCCACCTTGTAGGTCTTCACTCAGTCTTAGTGACCGACCCTTTAGTGGGTCTTCTGTTGGTTCAAGCCCCTATGACACCCCACTTGGACTAACTTCTAGCCATCTCAGTCAACCTTTAGTCTCCCCAGTCCTTGATCCTGCAAGTGTAATTCTGATCGAGAAATGAATTAACAAGAAAACGCCCTCTGAATCTAAAACTGAGTGCATCCATTTCGTGGATGCTAATGATATTAAGGGTAACGAGGACTTCTTTGAGGATGGAACAAAAGATATTGAATCAGACTCCCAGAATGACTTAAACCCTGAGCTAGGAAAGCTAAAACCTTTAAAAGTCGACACCTTAACCCACCCCGATCCTAGGCTCCTCGAGGACAACTCCTTGGATAAAGTCTGCCTGGACGATATTAATTTGATCCCGAAAGAAACTGATCTGACCTTGAACACAGTGAAAGTAAAATCGGAAGATTTTAATTTAATTACTGAGATGACTCCGGATAATTCTGATTTAATTTTGGATAATTCTGATGACGACTTAGATATTCTCGAGTTGGAAGTAAGCCAATCGAATTTATCACCTGATTTAAGTGAAACAAACCTGAGTCTCTTTTGGAAGACAGTACTTTGAGTCTGAAAGTTTTTGAGCCTGATTTGAACAATGTCCCCTCTTGTTTCATTAGAGTCTAACTTTAGAGCTGCTCATTTGGATTTATATTTGACCGAATGTGTCATTCTTGATTCATACATTTTGCCCGTTATAGCCTCGTCCTACCAGGATAAGGACCACTTCTATCTTAGTTGGATGAATTTGTTCGATGATACTACCCCCACTAGGAGACTGCTGCCGACCCTAACCGAAACTTCCTATAGAAGTACCCTGGTAGCTAAGAATGTCTTCATTGCTCCCCCTACACCAGTTCCCTTAGATCAAACACTTTAGACCCCCTCTTTTCGTGACTCGTCCACCTTTTCTAACTATGTGTTCGTGTAAGTTAGTATGTTGTGTATGTGTGTTTTATAGTTTGTGGTCCTCCAAATTGTCTATGTTGTAACTTGTGTGTGAGCTCACGATTCTTGTCATTCATCCTACACTCAGAGTTTCTTGCATCCACTTTGGCATCTCATCGTCAAGAACTGCGTAAGGATATTAATAAAAAGAATAACCAAAGCAATGCCAGTTATAAACTTACAGCCGATCTCAAGAGACGGTTCAAAGAATTTGATATTAGAGATTTTTGTATTGGTTCGGATTTGTCCGGAGCGGTTCCCACAAGGGACCATTATAAAGTTATATGCTAGAAGCATTGGACCGTTCAAATAACAACAAAAAAATAAATAGTAATGCTTATGTGTCAGACCTTCCTGAAGGTTTTAACATTAATCCTATGTTAACATCGAAGATCTTGTAACTTTCGAAGGTCCAGAGTGTAACCCTCCTATTCCACGAAATAGTGAGCCTTGTGTGAACCCACCTGGTGAGATCCCCAGCCTAACTCCACCTCCAAAATTGCCTAATTTACCCAATACAGAGAAGATTGAGACAATACTTAGTGATGAACTCAAATTTCCACTAGAGATGATGGTCAACAAAGGTATCTAGTTCAATGAGCAGGGAAACCGGAAACGGAGAACACATGGGTTGATTGTGACGAGCTACAGCGAGTGGACCCCGACTTACTAGAGTGGTACACGAGCTCTATAGATGCTTACTCGATGGGGTCGAGTTTTCTCCCACCTGGGGAGAATGATGAGGACATCATCAGCGATTTCGACACATGTACCATCAGGAGACGCCGGAGATCGACGGCCACGATCATGAGTTTTATTTTGAGTCATTTTATGTAGTAGTTTATTTTATTTTCAGTTTTTTTCCGCTTTTTCCCTTATGGGTATTTGGTTGCTATTGTAGCCCAAGGGGCATTTTAGTCTTTTATCTTCTTTGTCATTTGGTGGCCTATATATATGGCCCTTTTCTCATGTAATAGAAGTTTTTGATGAATGAAAATTTGACATTTCATGTTCTCTTTGTGAGTGCAAACCTCCTCGATCTCTTAGTGAGTTCATAGGAGAAGCTAGATCTCTTTGTGAGTTCTAGGTCTTCTTGTTTTTCTAATTTTCGTTCTTTATTTCTTGTGTTCGATTCGTCGTCGTGGATATTGGATTGAAGCAATTGTGGAGAGTGGAATGGGAGGAGATGCATGAGGTTTGAATCCCCTTTGAATTACTCCAAGCTTTCTCCCCAATTCTCTGGCCGCCGCCTTCCTCTTCCCCAAGCCCCTTGCCGCCGGCCACCTTGGGCCTCCCAAGCCACCGTCCACCACCACCTAAAAATTAGTCCAAGCCGTCGCCCCCTGTTCCCCAATTTTCCTTCCCCACAACTCCACCCTCTGGCCCCTCTTGGAGTTTTGAATTTGAAATTCAAAACTCTCATGAAGCTTTGATACTTTCCTAATTTAGCTCCTTAATTTGAGGTCTCCAAATTAATTAGATTTCAATCTGAATTTGAATTCAAATTGATCTTAATTAATACCCTCTTATTAGGAAACTTCCCTAGCTTAAAAACCTGAAATATATTTCAGATTTTTATTTAAAGCTTTGTTAGCCAAGTGGTCCCCACCTACTTAAGTTAAACATTTTCTCCCTCTCTATGCTTGGCCGGCCTTCCTCTTATTGTTTTTCTATTTAATTTTCACATCACCACCTCTTAAATGCTCCTAAATACCTTTCCTCTCAACGTAACTGCAGCTTTTATTCCATATTTCAAAATCTGAGATGGGAAATCAGGATTATTCCCTCTCATTCATTAACTCCAGCAGATTTGGGAAAGAATTCCCAAATCTGAGAATTCCCAAAATCTCAGGGAATTAAAGCATAATTTAATTCCTATCCCTCCACGTGAAACTGAGCCATTAATTCCTTCCATAGGCTGAGAGTGGCATTAGGAGATTCTGGTCTCAATCAGCCGCCTCCTCCTTCATTGTTTTGCTTGGAATTATTTCTCCAAAATCTCTCTGCTGCTGGCCGAACTCCCCATGCTCTTTTCCTGGGTTCTCTCTCCTCAACTCTCTCTCTCTCTCACTCAACACCTTGCTGGAATCAAGGCGTGAAGGCTCCTTCAAATTTCCCTTGCTCCTAAGCCATTCCTCTCAGGTTTTAAATAAGAAACCTGAAGAAAATTTTAGATTTCCTGAAGAGTATTTTTTCAGCTTTTTGGAGTGGAGATCTTCTCCCTAGCAAAGCCTCTGCTTTCGTTCTAAATCAGGTCACCTTCCATTCTCCCAAGTTAGCTTTAAAGGACATAAATATGGCTAATATATATGTGAATACACAAAATTTGTTTATCCATTTTATTAATTTTTAATTCGATCTCCTATTTCCTTTCTGTTTGATCAGGTGAGAGCCATGGAACTTATTGATAAATTGGAGGTCAGACGACGAGGCCCTTATAGCGGTGGGTTTGGTGGGATATCATTTAATGGGGACATGGACATTGCTCTTGCTCTCAGGACCATGGTCTTTCCAACTGCTAATCGCTACAACAGCAGGTATTCATTCAATAACTTGAATTGGCGGCAGGAATGGGTGGCTGACCTCCAGGCTGGAGCTGGGATTGTGGCAGATAGCAATCCTGATGAAGAGCAGAGAGAGTGCGAGAATAAGGTTGCAGCTCTTGCCTTTGCTATTGATCTTGCAGAAAACACGTTTGTGAAGTTATAGGTATGTCATGCCTGCAATGTTTTATTGTCTTTAGGCTACAGAAAAAACAATTATTTAGGGAGCTTTATTCTTAACTTTAGCTGAGTGATCTATAAGAATAATGTTTTACCCCAAATAAAAAACTGAAAAACGAAACATTTAAATTGTGCTAATGACTTATTGTAAAACATCTAAACGGGAACCAAATCATAGACAATGTAACTTCTTGATGACAATTTTTCATAGCTCAAAAGAAGGATTGATTAGAGCTCTGCTTAGATCCCTTAAGTGTAACAAATAAGCCCTAATTGTAATTCTAAAAGATCTAGAGAGAGTATCCCGATGTGCAGAAATTCCGGCAATTTCCGTCTTTTAACTGCAGTTGGTGAAAAGTACGAGGTTAGATTTTGGTGACAATAATTATTAGGCTAGGTTCTGGTATGAATATATCTGATGCATTTGTTCCAACAAATATTTATACAGCAGAAGATGTAATTTAAATCTTAGGGGCTGTTTGACAACAAGTAGAATTTTTAAGTTTAGTAGGATTTATTAAATCATGAGTGTGTTAAAATCTGAAAACTATTTGGCAAGAGAGCTATTAAATCCTAACATAATCCAAGATTTAAGGTGGATAGTTTATTAAAAAGTGAAACTGTTTGGCAACATAATTAATGTGGTGATCGTCAGAAGAATCGGACCTGCAAGAAGGAAATCCCAATCCAGGGAAAAACACAAAACTTCAAAGCTTTAAAAAGGAGTTAATATTCATCAATGATACATTTCCTACTACAATGCATGCATATATAAACTATCTATAGAATCTTCTAGAAAAGCTTCTAACAAACTATAGTTAGCTAGTCATAAGGAACACTTAAGCTATGATATTCCACATCATTCTCCCCTTGCGTCAAAAGAGCTCGACTCCGTCAAGACGTTTCATTGGGAGGAAAATAGATGTATAAATTATAATCAATCCTCATGGGTTGAAAATTTTGCATCTTCGATGCATACCCACCAACTTGTTCATTAGTTGTATGAGTTCCTTTGGCCTTCCAGAAGAAATAGTAATATAAGCCTTTCTTCCAACCTTAATACAAAATTTTCCAAGAATGAGCATAGAAGGGAGCATCTATCTTCTGTGGGTTCATTGCTTCCAATTGAGTGATATAACCAACGAAACAGTCCATGAGACGTGGTCTATATAAATGAGAGCATAAGCATGAGTAACTTTCCCACACTTGACATATACATCCCACAATGTAGATCCAATGAAGGAGTTCATAGACATCCCTTTTTTCAAAACATAGCATTGATTCCATCTTTCTTGAACTAAAGCATCCAATAATGAACATGCTGACAGTATGCTCCCCATAGTGTATTCATTAGGCTTTACACCTGTTAATCTCATCTGGTTAAACAAAACCAATCCCTCTTCGGCATGATCATGCTGAGCCAAACCAGATATGATTGCGGTCCAGGACCCCACATTCCTCTCCGAAATTGAATCAAACACCTGAGACGAGGCATCCACCATCCCAATCCTGCAATACATGTCCAATAAAATCGTGCTGAAATAGGATTGCTGCTCCCGGTGGACATAAGTTGTAGTGCAGTTTTCCCTGCAATCTTAGCAGGGCTCACTCTCAATGAGATGCGAGTTTGATGGGTAGGCTGCATCTGGCTCCGCACATGCTGCTGCATGGAGATTTGATTTTTCACAGATGATGCTGAGGGAGATAGTGTCACGATCCGGCCTGGTTAGCTCGTAGATACGAGGCGGGAACGAGATCGGACATGTAAATTAAGTACTCATCATTAATTCCATGCAATTCTAAAGATATTCAAGAATAATAAAAGCGCCTCTAAACTTTCATGTCAATGTCACAGGTCTATCACAATGTACAAGATGGTAATAATTTTTTTTTCTTTTTTTTACAAATACTATGCATGCCATCCAAAATAACAAAATAACTACAACAACTACTACTGCTAAAGACAGTAAAGGAACTTGTCACCGGTGCGTGTCTACTGTAGGTAAACCTCGGGTGATCAGCCATCACCTAAGAGTCGGGTCTCCTGAAAATTTCCCAAAACTAGGGAGTGAGCTACGCTCAGTAATTGACAATATGGCTAAAGTTGGTGTACATGTGGATTTTAAAACTACAAAACTACTCATGAACTATTAGATGTCTTAATGCATGTGAACCATGATATGCTTGATATGCTTGCCTAAAACATAAATTAAGAGTTCTTGATACAAGAGAACATGAAATACTTGCATATGTGTCATTTCATAATGTATACATCCGTCCCGGAGTACCGAATTGTACTGATCAGGTACACATCGTTCATGGCCATTCATTTTCATTTCGTTCCGTATTGCCTCAAAGGCCGTCTTTGCTCAAAGAGACACTTCTTGGTACTCCGTCATCAACAATCACAAGCAATATAGCATGAATATGATAGGAAGCTTTCATGTGACACTAAATAACCATTGCATGACTATGATAAGATGATTTCAACCATGATAAGATGCTTTCATAAGATACTAAGTAACCCTTTCATGATATGACATAAGAAACATAACTATTTTATGGCTTGACATAAAAAAAAACTTTAATAAACAAATATAGTTATAATGAAATGCGCACTTTCCTTAGCCAATAAAGTCACTTACCTTTGAGAATTCGTGCTTGGAAAGTTTCCCGCACAAGTCCTCGCCTCCTTTCTTAATTTCAACCTAAAGGAAAATAAGAGATTTAAATCTCTACGACTTTATTTAACTCAACACAATGTTTAATTTTTATTTAATTTAATTATGATTTTTGGATTTAATAAATTCTCAAAATTTTGACTTTCCAATTTGGCTAATTTCTTCCCTTAAACATGCCAAAACTTCCCCTTCATCTAATCCATAATTAATATTTAATCATTTTCGGATTTATAATAATTAATAATTAAGAAAAATTATTTTCTTTCAAATTTCCAAATTTAGAGGCTTCCCCAAACCTTTAGAAGCTAAATTAGGGAACATGCAACCCTTAAACATTTGTTTTGGAAAAACACTAAACCTTCCCAAAATTTTTCACTCAAAAATTTCTAAATAAAAAATCAAAATCTTGTTACTAAAAAGCTTCCCTTACACTCCTCTATCCAATCCTATAACAATTTAAATAAAATGAGAAACCCTAATTTTTAGACTTAGTGTTTTTCTTAAAAATTTTTAACATGAAGGGTAGGAAATCGTAAGTCAAGACAAGCCCTACTAATTCTCTAAAGAAATTTCTAAAAAACTCAAACCCTAAAATTTTTTCTTTCAAGAAAACTCAAAAAACTTCAAATGCTTGAAGGAATACATACCCCAAGTCTTCCTCTTGCTTTTTCGAAAGAAACCTCGTCGGAAAAGCCGCCTGCCGCCGCTCGGATAGCCTTCCCGCCGCCTCCTCCCTCTCTCCCGTCACCTCTCCTCTTGGTCGGCCGAACAAAACGCACAAGGGACCGAAAGTTTCGGTCCCTTAGGCGTGAGACGGGGTTTAAGGAAAATAAATTCGCATATTACGCATGTACCCTTACTCATTCCAATTTCTTAAGACCTTCTAAGGGCAAAAAGGGAAATGCATGTAAAATATTACTTAAACGAACTTCGACGAATTTCAATTCCTAAATCGTGCGAAATTTGGTATGAGTTCTTTATACCGTTTCAATCGAAATTTCGAGACGAATTTAATAAAATTTATTTCGTCGAATTCCGACGACATCGAAATTTCACTTAAGTTCGTCGCGGCCCATCGATATACGTGCAACGCACTAAACTGAAAATTTTTGGGTTTTACAGATAGCGCAACAGAAGAGGCGGCAGTTATTGTGCTAGGTGAATCTTTCCACTGAGAAGACTGAGAAGAAGGGCTGCTTTGCATGAGAGCTGGAGAAAAGCCAGCAAGAGCTTGAGGGAATTTGGATGCATTGGAGCTTCCTGAGAGACGGTTAGTGTAAATACCAAAACAATTGCCATTGGCATTGGACCTCATTGTTGCGTCAACTTCCTGCGTTAGGGTACCATGAAGGTCGAGGATCTTAAAGAGCTTCTCCAGAGAACGACAGCCGATGCTGATCCTCTCGATCCCCAGATGGCGGAAACAAAGTTTCAAAGCGGACTTGCGGATGCTCCCATAAACCTGAAAACACCCGCGACCATAGCCGGCGATAAGCATCCGGTCGGCGACAATGCGGAGATCCTGAGTAGCATCATTAGGGAGGAGATCGATCTCACGGATGCTGCTTGTGGAACGGTAGCTCGGCGTGCTGCTCCCGCCGAGGTTATCACTGCTCCCTAGATGGGGAAGGATGAGCGCGATAGCTAGTGGCTTCAAACTGTCATCCTTTTCGAGGAAGAACAAAGTACGGGAGGCGTAGATTTTTTTGCCCGTGTTGTTGATGCATCTCAGATATGACATGATTGTATCATAGTGATCAATGATGAAGAGTTTCTTCAATTGGAGCACTTAATAAATAGAGCAGCCGTCAAGGTTGTCTTGGATGCATTCTATTTTGATTCTGCTTTTCTGGTTGCCGAAGAGGGAGGGATCAAGACTGCTTGATGTCGAGCTGGAGCGGATGGTGTCGGATGATCCTGGATATTGGTCGCCGACGAATTCGGTTGGTGCGCATGAGATCGGGAGTGGTGTGGGGTTGATATGGAGACGGATGTTGTAATGTTTGGCAGTGAGCGACGTATCTGCTAGAGCGGGTTAGTTGTGCGACAGCAGAGGTCGTTGGGCCACTTGGACGAGTTTGATGTCGTTGAGAGGATTCAGGTATGGGACACCCTATGCATCCGTCCTTTTTGAGCATGAGCGGATCGAGACGAGGACGAAATGCTCTCGAGAGGTGGGAGCGGGGGTGACAAGTTCGGGTGAACTGAGCGAGTGTAGGCTCTCGGGTCGCGATATGAGCGGTGGTTGGAATCATCGACAACGATGGCATTAAAAGAAGATGGAGGTTCAAGATCACGGATCTGGCATTGAAGCGGAGCAGGGTTGTGCCACCGAAGAGGAAGCTCGAGTGGAGGGTACTTCGGCGGTGGATCATGCCATCGGAGAGGGAGTTTGAGCGGCGGGTTGTCCTCAACCACAACCAGTTGATTTTGGAACCCTTTGTGATCGCGTGAAGCTTATGAGAGGAGCGAAGGCGAAGACGCCGGAATGGTTTCCGAAGACATTCTCATTCTGCTTATGGATCTAAGGTTTTTGTTTAATCAATAAGTGATGCTTTCACTTGAGCTTGATGGAAGGCTATACGACTTCGATAATCATCGACAACCCACTTTCTTTGGTGTCGATCATCGTCGACCATCCTTCTTATTCTTTAGCTTCGAGATCGTCGTCGATAGCACACATTCTTCTGCAGTCCATCGTTCTTAGCAAGCTTTGGGTTCTAATACCAAATTGATGTGGTGATCGTTGGAAGAATCGAACCTGCAAGAAGGGAAATCCCAATCCAGGAAAAAACACAAAGCTTCAAAGCTTTAAAAAGGAGATAATATTCATGAATGATGCCTTTTCTACTGCAATGCATACATATATAAACTATCTATAGAAGCTTCTAAAAAAGCTTCTAACAAACTATAGTAAGCTAGTCCTAAGGAAAACTTAAGCTATGATGTTCCACATCAATAATCCATGATTAAAGGCTGTTAGTTCATTAATAATACTCAAATTTAATTAGTATTTTAAATAAGAATTAGTAATTAAATCTAATTTTAGTTACCATCAATAAATTATAATTATAAATAATATAATTAGAAGCTATCAATTATCAAATATTATAACTAACAATTTAATTACTAATGACAATACAAATTATCTAATTATTTATTTAGGTGTTATTTTAATTAAAATTTGATTGATAACTATATTGATAATTATATAATTAATTATTTGATAATTATTTGAAATAAATAATTATATAATTACAACTTATACTATTAATTATTTAACTGATTATTTAAATTATTATTTCGATAAAATTTTAATTACTTATTATACTATTATTTATTTAAGTTTTCTATTAATAACTAATTATTTAATTATAATTTATATAGTTAATTTGTAATTAATTATTTATGATTTAAAATATATTAATTAAATTAATTATATTATATTATAATTAAAAAAATAAGAATTAATTTAATATCTTCCCAATAGCTTTGGAGGCGTCTGCCGACCCTAAGTAGTGGGATAAAGGCTTGATGTTGTTGTAGCTTAGGAGGCGTCTGGTGTTTGCTTTTCTGCTTCTATTTCGTCATGGCTATTTGACATTGTTGCTTCGCGTGAGGTAGAGTTTTGCACGAGTTTCTTGTTCGACTCTTTTCTTTGTTACTGATCGGCTTCGCTGGAACGATTCGATGATGTTCACTTTTGGTCGGGTCAAAAGTCATGACATTTCAACAATGTTCTTTCTGTTGGATTGGAAGTAATGACGGGAGGTCGCTTGCTGTGAAGTTAACTATCTTTCTCCCGTAAATCTATTGTTTACAGCAAAAAGAGGGAAACAAACGATTTATTCTGCCCAGAGATTTATCAGGTGCTCAAAATCTCGTTTGATAGGATTTAGCATAAATCTTGTTGCCAAATTGCCCCTTAACAAGATTCAACATGTTTTTTCACACTCTTCGTGAGTTATTTATGTTTCTTTGTTAAATGATTAATATGAAGAAAAAAGGGTGAGAATATTCTAATTTAAATTTGGTCAGGATGAATTTGAAGTCATGGAAAATTTTAAAGATGAGTACGATGTAAGTGTTACATTAATTAATAATATATTGCACATATCTCAAAGCAAATTCAATGCTTGAAAACTCATCTTGATCAAATTTGAAGTAGGATATTTGTTTGATCTAGGAGACTATAAATTCAGGAATCATTTGAGGGGATTCCAACTCCAGCACAAATGCTGTATTTATAGTTACAACGTTTGGACTCAAGAACATCTATCAACTGGAAACAAAAAATAAAAAATAAAAAAAAAAGTTTGCCAGCCAGCTCAATATTCCCTTCTAACATAAACAATCAGACAGTAACTCCTTCAAACAGCTGTCAAAAACCTCCACTCCACCGCTTAACTCTTGAAACCCTTCAGTCAATCTGGAACATTCCGCCTTCTTTGAGGACGTTTTCCTCTGTTTCCTGCACCCATCTTGCATTCTGTTCTTGTAGTATTTCTCGATTCAGTAATATAGGAGAGGAAATAATGGATGGACCCAAAATTTATGGGATTAATATTGTATGCTTCCTCTGAAAGATATGATTTCGTTAAGTGTATGTGATCATCTTTGAAATCATATTGACTCTTAAAAAAAAAAAAAAAAAGGTTTTCCTATTGTCAGCCTGCCGTAGGAATCGTGTTGGGGTTCATAAGAACAAGGATGATTTTTTATTTCATTTCTTTGGTGGGTATTTTTTTAGCTGTGAAACCAATATTTTATTCTCAGATATTTTTGTAATTTACATTTATATGCTTTTGTAATTTATGTGTCAGCAATCTCTTTTTTCCTCAGGTTATCACATAACAACAGAGGTTTCCAAAATCAAACTTTGAGGAGTTGGAAGCAGAAGGGTCCAAAATCAAACTCTCACAGATCTGGTGAACTTCTATATTGTTAGAACACTGGCTTTCCATGCTATAGAAAAATTGGTCGTGTTTAATGTAGAAAATTTTGATAAATAAGAATTTCTAGGAGTTTTTTATACTGCTTAGCATAGGCATCACGATTTATTGGTTCTTGAATTTTGAAATATTATTTAAATTATTTAGGGTTTATTTTTATTGAGTTTGTGGTGTAATCAAGCTTTAATTGACTTTTACTAATTATATGATTGAAATTAATGATTTATTCTGTTGAATCCGAATTTGTGTGGATGATGCTTGATCTTATTAGCAGGCCATCTGAATAAGCCGATGAGTAGGAACTTGAGTAGACATGCGAGTATATATACGTTCATTTCAAATTAACTTTCGAAAGTTGATATGAGCTGATGATAAATAATTTGCATTTCTTTTAGAACAATCCAATAGGCGTTGGACCCTATCTAATGAGTAAGAAATGCTGACATAATTAAAAAAAAAAGGATGTGTGAATTGTCTCATAATTTCCTCATCTCTCACCATTCATCAAGATGTAGCACACCCACACAACATAGCTTCGAGCAGGTATGGGGATTCTACTCATAGATAAATATGCAGCACCTTCCTGATAACATTTAGGGTGCATTGGGGACGGTTGTAGCAGGTTGTGAAATTGGTATTTAAAAAGCTACTTTTTGAAGTTTCTACACATAAATCAATTATATTTTATTTGGATAATATAACTATAGGCAAATAAATTATCATAATACCCTTATATATATTGAGATTAAAAAAAAATATATAAATGCATATAATAACAAACTGACAATTTTAAATTAAAATGTTATCCACTTTATAATATCTCTAATGAAGTGTAATTTTACATCAATATGTTTTGAACGTTCATGAAACAGAATTTTTCATGAGATGAATTGCACTTTGATCATCACAAAAACTTGTTACTTTTTTTTTTTTTCAAAACCCAACTCATCAAGAAGGTCATGGAGCCATAAGCCTTCTTTTATACCTTCAGTTGCAACAGTGAATTGAGTTTTTGTTGAAGACTGTTGACCTGTTGTACCGAAAAAAAAAAAAAAAAGAGAAAATCAAAATAAAATCAAATCCCTTACCTGCCACACAATCCAGCGCCGCTCGTCGCAGGTCGAGGCCATACCTCGCTCCATTTCTCCCCACGAATGCCGCACGAGTCGTTAAAAGGCTCGAGGCAACGAGGCCTTCGGCCTCCTCTGCAAGCTCTCTCTCTCTCGATTTCCCTCTCCCGCTCTCTCCCTCTCTCGTTCGACGAAGCTCCTTCCACGACATTCCCTTCTTGTCTGGATCGGAAGTCACAACACGTTGATCGGAAGCAACGGGCGGGAGCTCGCTGGCTGCAGAGGCAACTTTCTCCCTTTCTACGGCTTCTTCAGCTCCTTCAGGGCTGTTCGACTTAGCCCCTTCGCCGACTTTCCCTTCCAGTCGGACCGGAAGTTCAACATTTTGATCGGGAGAAGCAACGGGAACTCGCTGTGAAGTTGACTGCCTCCCTCTCACGCGCTTCTTGGGCTTGGCTTCCCCAACGACTTTCCCTATCCATTTGATCGGAAACAGGACAGGAGCCCGCTTGCTGTGTAGGTAACTTTCTCCCTTTGGCAAGCTCTTCGGCCTAATCCCGTGAACCAGAGAGTGTAGAGAGGAGAGAGGGATTATGTTATTTTAATTAAAACTAATTTAAATTAATTTTAATTATAATTATTTTAATTAATTATAATTAGTATAATTATATAATTAATTTTAATTAAATGGTTATAAGTAATGTTAATTAATTATAATTAATTTAATTAAATAATTTTAATTAATTCTAACTTATTTAATTAATTATAATTAATTAATTAAAGTTAATTAATATTAATTAACTCTAGTTAATTAAAGATAAACATAATTAATTAAAATAGTTTTATTTAATAATTAATTAAAATTATTTTAATTAATAATTAATTAAAATTATTGTTTTTAAAAAAAAGGGGGCATGCCTCCTCCCGCCTCGGTTCACGAGCCACCGCCGATCCGCAGGCCGCCAAAGGTATAATTTCTGGAACCCTTGTTTGCTCTCTTACCTCGGCATGTGTGTCGAGTTGGTGGTTTGCCTATATACGCTTTTCTTAGTGTGGTGAGAGGGGCAATCGGCGCGACACCCGCGACAAGGTAAGCGAGCGACCCTTGGTTCCAAATCCTTCTTCGAAGTTCGTAACACACCGGCAAACCACCTATACACGCTTTTCTTAGCGTGGTGGGAAGGGAACCCGGTGCGATGCGTACGACGAAGTGGGGATGCTCATAAGTACCCGCTTGCGGGGAAACAACTGTTTTTTCTCTTGCAACATGTACCTATAGAAGACCCATACATGCTTTTCTTAGCGTGGTGGGGACAAAGACTTTACACGACCGCGGTGTCCTCGAAAGGGGGCACCTATCATACACGCTTTTCTTAGCGTGGTGGGAAAGACTCAGTTTTCTCGTAGTTTTCCCCTAAACGGGAAAGACACCTGGAGGCTGCCGAAATTTCGGGTGAAATACTACTACACTCGGACCTGTTTCGAACTAAAAAAAGAATAAAAGATTTGGACCAAATGAGAAAGAGCAGTGGACTTTTGAACTTGATTGAACAAAGGCAGAGAACCTGAACAGAATTTAAATAATTTCTAAAGGTCAAAATCAAATGAAACAAAATCAAAATTGAACTCAAATTCAGATCATTTGAACATAAGATTGAACTTGCAAGAACTTCAGAAGATTCTGAACAAGCACTCGAACATGTACTTGAACCTGAAGACTTGGTCATCAGGGGACCCCGAACATAGAACTCAAGCTCAAGTAAACTCTAACATGAATTGAACAAGGTTTCAGAAGACTTTAACTTCCAAGAACAACACACAAGATCTCAATGCATGCAAGTAAATAATGTATCATACTCTTACAACAGTCTCTACAAAATCGAGAGCACCGTACCTGCAAGAATGAGATGCATTGGTGTCCCTCCTACATGCACCCGAAACCGAGGCGGATCTATAACAGAAGGCGTTTACGATCTACAACTCATTGCCACCGGATCCGCAATACCCGTGCTAGCGGACAGAAGGCGTGTATAAGTTCTCAAATGAAAAATTGTGTGCATCCAAACGATAGTTATCTACACGACTATAAATATTTTAAAGTACCATGCACATGCACTATAGTTTGTATACACATAGGTACACGATGGGGTACGTTTAAATCAATATAAAAACACTCGCTTGGGCCCCGACGAGCGTGTTATTGGTACACACGTGACGCTTAGGGATGCTGTGCAGGTCGATAAGTGAATTCTAGTTTGAACATGATCCTTCTATACGGATCGATAGAAGTCGACAGAGTTCGAACCTTCAAACAAACACATGGTTGTGGGAACCAGTATATTTGTTTCAATACATTCGTATTAGGCATTCCAGGCCTACGATTAAAAGAATTCACTAAATAAAAGACATGAAGCCCATGAAACCCGATCCTCCTAAATAGATAGGAGTAGACAGGGTTCGAGATATCGAATAAATATGCGGTCACGAAGTCGACCGGAATATTTATCTTATACATTCATATTCGGCCTTCAAGGCATTCAATGAAGAAAATTCATGAACAAATGCATAAAGCCTACGAGAAACCCGATCCTCGGTCAACAGCTCAGCCGAGTCGACAAGGTTCAATCCAAAAATAGAAATGACCCCAAACACCCCGATGATGGCCGTGTTGAATGATGATCTCAACCGGAGGGGTCAATTTCAGGCATTTTTAAATGCATCCCAAAAGTCCAAAATCCAAAATTCCACAAATCCTAAAATCCAGATATTTAAATCTAAAATCAATCCATCAATCACTCAAAGCTAAATCCATCCACCCCCCGCAACAGTTTGCCGGGGTGGACAAATCAAAATTTACTTCAGTTCACAAAGAGCCAAATGCATAGTCGAAAATATCACTAGGATCCATTCTCAAACAATCTCCTGCCAATAAGGACGTGGGACGTGTCCTCTAACCGGCGGTTTTGCCGCCAAATGGCACCGCAGGATAAACGGTTACGACGACCCGGGGCCCTCTGAACCGAGTGGTTTTGCCGCAAAATGGCACCACGATATACCGGTTATGACCAGAGCCAATACGTTCCTTATTGGCATCAAATCCTTGAGATATGAATCAATAGGATATGATTGATATGGCACAAAGCCCTCAGTCAGCTAATGTGGATTTAAATTTGTCCCCTTAGACAAACATTCAACCTAGGTCTACAAGGTCCCCTTGGACGAAGCAACCCATGGCTGCCGATAAGGATCCTTCTGTCAGGTTGGGTCGACTACCTCCTCTGACTAAGTAGACCAGGGATCACGATGGCCCGGGACGACGGAACCATGAGATCTTGATCGGGTCTATCATCCATTCCCCGACCATCCGCTTTAAGTGCTAGATGGTGCAATTTCTATTTTAAATATCAAATTCTCCGAATTCTCAAATCCAAATCCAGTTTCCAAATCCAGACCTATTGCTGCTACTATATGCCAGATACACGTATTCTATACATATCTGATCGACGACTAGCCTTAATCGAAAGTTCTCTCTCGTGATCGAGAGGGGTAATTAACTATAGGGGCTTGCGCCTATAGGAAACCAGAACTCAGATCATAAAGTCCTCGCAAAATGAGGGCGAAATCTCTGGGTAGTGTTTTATCTACAAACCCATCTGCCTTACAAAATTTACCTCGGAACTTATTCTGTTAAAACTCCCTCGCCGAATAAAAAAAAAAGAAATCGCGCGGCGGGGAGGCCGGGGCCGAATTTTTGGGGACCACAAAGACAAAGCTATTACACGTTGTGGAGAAGACTTCCAACTAACAGTTCAATTAAATACAGTAAAAACATAAGCAGAAGTTTATCTTTTGGTTTCAAGATATCTGTATAATCTGAATGTGCAACTCTTTAACAAATCTCTATTCATAGCTTCACCTTGGAACAATAAATCTAAAATAGATGACAGAGAACCAAACAATACATCACTATACTTTTCAAAAATATAGGAAAACTGCACCAACATCCAAGCATTCAGAAGTAGCCAATTTGAGAGAATCATACTTTGAATCCTGTAGCATATTCAGTGTCAACAGGAAGATAATAAATACTTATTTCAGCATATAGCACATTCATTAGTACAATGGCTCGGATTGTAGGAACTCACAAGATACCTACCTACAGGTGCAATATACGAGACATGGCTCAAACCATGAAGCTTTATCCTATTTTATAGTAGCAAGCCAACAGCATTAACATCGTCCCAAATAGTTAATGCATGATTCAAAGGATGATTATCTCAAATTGCATAGACAGTGCCATCATAATTATACAAAGCATATACCAACAATAATTGTTTCAGGATATAGCACATTCAGTATACAGATTTCATCCAAGAGAACCAAAATGCAATAAACCTTCACAAGAGTGTTACATTTAGATCATCTCCAATCGAACTGCATATCACCGTATGCTGTTGGCCATTTGGTCCATTCGAATTCGAAATGTTACACCAAAATTCGGCAAGTGAACAATGCGACATCAATATTGACATCCGACTGTTCACCTACTCCAAAAAAGTGGGCTACGGGATTTGCCGAAGCGAGCGAAAGAGGAGAAAAGCGCGGAAAAGAGGAGAAAATTGTTACCTTTCGCAAGAAGAACGTGAAAGAAGAGAGAAAATGTCGTTCGATTGGAGATGAATTACTTAATTTTGAAGTTTTGCTATATTTTGAAGTGAAAAATGGGGTTTTCGGTTGGAGATACCCTTATTGCTCTATAAAACAATGCAGAACAAAAGTCATAATAATGAGTAAACCTACAACATTGAGTACCATAAAACTATTCATTAACTTTAAAATGCTGGCCCTATGCCATCCTCCATGTCAAAAGCTGAATAGTTCAAATTTCATCATAAGATAATTACAGGTTTACAATGTAGAGACTTCAAATAACTTTGAATCAAACACACGAGTCAATGATGACATCCTGATGTGCATATATAAGTGCATGCTTATAAGGTGAACTAAGAATAAATTTTACAAAACAAACTTAAACATAACAAAACTATTTATTGCACCCATTGATCTTAAAATCGAAACAAATCACTAAGCCTGAGTCATACCGAGATAGCATATAGCCAAGTCCAAATTAAGATCAAACAGATTGGCTTCAAACTAACTTAAAAAATGAAAGTCAGATCATCCAAAGATCAGTTAATTTACAGTCATGTACTGCAACCAAACCTCTGTGCATATTAGAAACAGAAAATTGTAATTCTCAAAACATAAGAAACAATGGTGCAACTCCAATTTAATTTAAATTTAAATTAATCCATAATAGATAATTATTAACTCAGATCAAATAGACAGTTGCACAGCTCAAAGCAGAAATGGCATAGCAAACGCAACAAATCATCAATGTAGATCAAACTTTGAACTACATGTTGACAATTTTAAGTTTTAAAACATTACATATTTGTAGCTGTTTAGGGTCATGGTGGAGTCGTTGGACCCAAGCAATAAGTCAGAGGGTCATGGTTGTAATCGTTAACCACGTGGAGCCATCCGACCAAACCACGAGTTATTTGCAGAGTTGTTGACCAAATTGCCGGTCAGAGGACCAATGCAACGTCCTTAATAACATGAGACTATTTTGAGAATGAATCCTAGAGATATTCTCGACCAGACACTAACACTTTGTGAGCTGAAGTGTACTTTCAAAATTTTCCACCCTGGCAAATTATTGCGGAGGATGGATAGATTTTGCCCTAAGTGTTTGATGACTTATTTCAATATTAAATATTTCAGGTTTCGATATTTTTAGAATTTTGAAATTTGAGTTTTATGGACATTTGGGAGGCATATTTTAAATATTTGGGAACCCGTGCGATTGAAATTTTTTGTCAACACAACCATCATCGAGGTATTTATGGGCATTTACATTTCCTTGATTGAACATTATCAACTATGTCTACTTGTTGACAGAGGATCCAGTTCATTATCAGCTGTATGCTTTTATTATTGATTTTTTTTTTGTTATAGGCATTGAAGACCTAACATAAATATATTAAAACAAATATCTCAGTTGACGTCATGGCCGTATATTTGTTTGATAGTTCGAGCTGTATCAACTCCTATCTACTCGCATAGAAGGATCAGGCTCGCATTTGGATTTATCATTGGACCCACACAATGTCCTCAGACATCACATGTATACTCATAATTGAATTTAGATATATCAATTGACCCATGTGGGTATTTAGGGGACATTTTTTATTATTATTTGTTGAACCTTGTTGACTCTGTCTAATTGTTGATAGATGATCGGGTTCATTGCCGGCTTTAGATTTTTTTTTTATCAATGATTTTTTCTTGTTGCGGAACCTGAAGACTTAATATGAATGTATGAAACAAATATTTAGGTTGATATCATGACAGTATATTTGCTTTATAGTTCGAGCTGTGTTGACTCCCATCTACCCGTATAGAAGGATCAAGCTTGAACTTAGATTCATATCTTGATCCATGCAAATCCTCAGACGTCACGTGTACCTACAACACGCTCGCTGGGACCCATGCGGGTATATGCTATTACATGTGTTTTGTACGATGCATTTCTTTGTATTATATTTGCACACTTGCACATATATTTATACTTTCATTCATATATTGATGTGCTTGTATGTGCATTTTTGTATTTGTGTGTATACAATATTATATGTGTGGTTGCATTTTGAAACATTTAGTGCTGGTCAGCTGTGCGAATGATCATCATTTGGGTCTTCATAATGCTCTATATAGAAGTCTGTAAACACTTTATGTCCACTTGTATGAATGTTGTGGATCTAGTGGTGTGGGGTTGCACTACGGATTGCCTGTTGCTTTATACAAGAATAGTGTCGTGCACTAACTAGTCTCCAGCTATGACATTGCACAATAGTCATTTGCTCGTTTTATACAGTTAGATTTTCGTGCACTAATGGTTGCTTTTTGCAGGTAGATTGTTGTGTACTAACGAATCTACTGCTATCGTTTGCAATTACTTGCATTTACCACGAGCTCATTGCTCTTGCCTACAGACGGCATATCGTGCTGTGCAAGCTTTGTTGAATTACTTTGTAAGTCAACAATACACGTTTAAGAATCACTATCCGTAGTATACTGGTGAACTGCGTTCAACATGATGACCTCTAGTGCTACTTATATGTGCTTGTACTTGCTGAAATTCTTTTGTATTCGCTTGTAGACGGCACATTGTGTACATCACAGGTTTCCTACAAGGGCTTGTAGATGTTTGCATCTGCTATGTATCACCTACTTTTGCTTGTAGAGGACCAATGTATTTTCCCGCAGTTAAATGATGTTAATTACATGACTGCATTTTCTTCGAGCTCTTTGAACACACCCTGGCTTTCAATTCATTGCATATTAAGTCCCCCTGCTACTTGCAAGGTTTAATGCACTTGGTTGTATATTGATGTTGACTGCTGGATGATGTTTTTGTTATAATCCTGTAGCGTATCTTGTCCCTATTGAACATCCGAGGAGCAATTGAGAAAACTTTGCTTTGCATACATGACTTCGTCAAAACTCACTCACAGATACCTTAAGAAGAGAGGTTTGGGCCTTATTTTATTTCCAAGTGATGAAAGAATAATTGGAATAGATTTATGATATCACAAAAGAGAGAAAACTGGAAATTCAATTTAAGGATTGCAGACACATACAGCGCGGAATGTAGAAAAATACAAATTTTCTATAATGTTAACCTTTAGCCACACCTAATGATAAAAGCATATAGTTTTTAAATTATTGAAAAACCTAAAACTGAATGCATAACTACCTAGTAATTAGGATTAGTCACAGGAAAATGGAATAAAAAAACTGTCAAAACAGTAACGTGGGTAGTGACTGATCCTAAGGCAGAATAACTAACATTTCTAAACAGAGGCAGAAGGATGAGCTTCTTTGCTTGGCTGTAGAGTATGTAACAAGTAGAAACAAGGGAAACCTATAATAACCCACCTCAAAAGAAAGATAAATAGAAAATATTTTTGTCAAACTCCCAAAAGTTATTACTATGAACTATGAAGTGGTTCTTAAACCAAATCGCCTCTGTCTTTTCTGAAATGCAAGTAAAGCCTCAGCATATTCATCTTCTCCAAAATCTGGCCAGTGTGACTGTGCAAAGTAAAGCTCAGTGTATGCTAATTCCCATAATAAGAAATTGCTTAATCTCAGTTCACCACTAGTTCTGATAAGGAGGTCAGGGTAAGCATAACCAGCAGCACAACTTGTATCTAGTTCTTGCGCGACCCGAGATTCGGTTATGTCTTCAGGTTTAAGTATCCCGTTTTTCACCTTCTGAGCAATCTTCTGGCAAGCTTGGACTATGTCAGTTCTTCCACTGTAGCTTAAAGCAATAATTAAATCAAGCCGTGAATTGTTGCGTGTAATTTCCTCCAGCTCTGTAGCCATATTCTGCAGAGATTTTGGAAGTTTTGAAGAATCACCAATGATGCATATTCGAATACCTTCCCTGCCAGTATCAAACAATCAAAAGCAATATTACTATTTTGCTTGAAGCAGGTAGCAACCAGCCAAACCTGATAAAATAAAAGGCAACCCTTGCATATCTAGAGAAGCGTATCGTATCATTACACGGGTCATAAAATTTTCCATTCACATTTTGGTTTCTTTCGTGTGAAGCATAAATTCCATATATATGGCTGCAAAGGATGTAGAAGAAATCTGATGTTTACTAGCAATAATTTAATCAGGAAAAATAATAATTAGTGATTCAGGATGTCTTAGGTCTTAATTTTCTAATGCATATGTAGACTAAGAAAATCATGCAACACATGCACAAAATTTACACGACAAACTCTTAGTTTTAACAATGATTTGTTAATAGAGATGAAAACCAAAACTGAAAAATATTCAATGCAAACTGCAATTAAAGTCATCTACTAGAACAAAATATAGAAATACACAAACATAAAAATCATGCAATCTAGTAGAGAAGTTACACTAGCAAAAAGCCGGAAGTGGGCTCCAAAAATTCGCACCCCGGCCTCCCCTCTTCTTCAGGGGAGTTTTAACAAATTATGTTCTGAGGCAAATTTTCAGAAGACATATTAGGTTTGTAGATAAGACACTACACAGAGATTTTGCCCTTATTTTACGAGGTCTTTATAATCCGAGTTATGGTTTCCTATAGGCGCAAGCCCCTATAGATGGGCTGCAAACGAATCGAGCCGAGCCGAGTATGTAAGTGTTCATGTTTGAGTTCATTTATTATCAGCTTGTTCAAGTTTGGTTTGTGTGTGATTCGAACTTTACTATTTGTGTTCATATTTGGTTCATGTTCAATTCTTTTAGTGCTTATCAAGCTTTAAACAAATAAGCTTTAACGAGCTATAAACGAGCTCTACTTCTAAATGTTCATTAACTTAACAAACTAGCTTTATCAAGCCTCCAAACAAACAATTACATTGAGCATGTTCGTGAACATATTTAGCGAAATTTTTTTAAACTATAAAACAAGCACGTTCATGAACATATCTAACGAGTATTCTTGAGCTATTAAATGAGTATGTTCATGAACATATATAACTAATTTTTTCGAGCTACTAAATGAGCTCATTCACGAACAAGTGATTTATAATTCATCTTATATTTGTTCATGAATATTTTAAATAAATAATCTAGCAAATATGAACAAATGTGAAATATCTTTGGTTATGAACAAATTCATTTTATTGAAGGTATAAAATAAAATAAAATAAATTTATAATAAAAGTAATTATCTATGTAAAATGAAATAAGATTATTCTATATGAATATATTTTCAAATGAAGCTTACCTGTTTATTGTCCTTTTGTATTCAGTAAAATTTAATAAATATGTAAATTTTATTTTAGTTAGCATATATTATAATATTTAATTACTTTAAATTTTATTATTTAATAATAATTATTTAGTTATAATAAATATAAAATATTTATATTATGTATATTTATCAATTTTATAATCAAATATTAATTGAGTTTTTATCGAGCTTATTTACGAGTTTTGAATCAAACAAAAATTGAGCTTTTATCAAACTTCTTATTGAGCTTAATGTCGAGTTTATTCACGAGCTTCAAATGATGTTGCTCATGAACATTAATGAGCCGAACATATTAATGTTCAAGCTTGTTTATTTAATGATAGAGTATTTAAAATGTTGTTTATGTTTGTTTGTTTAATTAATTAAACGATCACAATTAATGAAACCGAGTAAGAAGTAGCTCGTCGAACGTTTGATTCGCTTGTAGGCCTACCCTATAGCTAATTACACCTCCCGATAGCGAGAGAGAACTTTCGATTAAAGCTAGTTGTCAAATGAATACATCGTATCCGTAGATATGATATCCAACGTATGGTAGCATCATTGGTTGGTATTTGAAAATTTGATATTTAGTATTAAAAATTTCATCATCTTGGACTTAAAGCGGATGGTGGGGGGAATGTTGATGAGTCGATCAAAATCCCATGGTTCCGTCATCCCAGTTCATCATGTTCTTTGGTCTACTTAGTCAGAGGAGGTAGTCGACCCAACCTGAGAGAAGGATCATTGTCGGCAGCCATGGGTTGCTTCGCCCAAGGGTACCTTGTAGACATGGGGTGAGTATTTATCTAAGGGGACAAATTTGAATGCACCTTAGCTAACAGAGAGCTTTCTTCCCTATCAAGTATATACTATTGATTCATATCTCAAGGATTTAATGCCATTGGGAAACATAGGAGCATAGGTTAAGACGTGATACTAATGTTTCTCAAAATCAATTTGGATTCATAGCGAGTAGGTCTACTATGGAAGCAAAACATTTATTGAGAGTTTGATGGAGAAGTATAGACAGAATAAGGAGGATCAACATATAATATTTATTGATTTAGAGAAATCATATGAAAACTTTTCAAGATAAGTACTATTTCATTAAGGATCAACCTTAAGCCAATATCTTTTTGCTTTAGCCATGGATATTCTCACTAGACATTTGCAAGAGGTTGTATCCTAGTGTGTGCTTTTTGCTGATGATATTCCTCCTGTTAATAAGACTAGATATGGAGTTGAAGGTAAACTTGAATATGGATGTTAATCATATAGTCTAAAGGTTTTCGTTAAAGTACATTTAAAATTGAATATATTGAGTATAATTTTAGTAGTAATAGAACTAGTGGGGGGATTGTGACTTTGGACAATCAAGTCATTAATAAGAGTACCCGTTTTAGATATCTTGGGTCTATTTTTCAGAGTGATGGTGAAATAGATGGGATATTATTAATAGAATTCAAGTTGGATGGTTGAAGTGGAGGAATGCATTGGGCTTGTTGTGTGATAGAAAAGTCCCCTCAAACTTAAGGAAAAATTCTATAAGATGGTAGTGAGACCTGCAATGCTTTATGGTGCAGAATGTTTAACCATTAAAAGAGAAGCATAATATTAAGTGTTACAGAGATGAGGAGGCTTAGGTGGATGAGTGGCTTTACTCTTAGAGAAAGGATGTGAAATGAGTATATATGTGAAAAGATGGTAGTGGCCTTCCAATGACCCATCTAGAAGAGTAGATGTATTAGATTTTGCTTATGTTAAGAAAGTTGAGGTATACCTAAAAAGACATGGTTACAAATATTAAAAATAACATTTTTTTATTAGATTTAAGTAAGAATTTGACTCTTAACAGAACACAATGGAGAAAAATGATTCGTGTAGCTGACCCCACGTAGTGGGATAAAGGCTTGATGTTGTTGTTATGTCATTATGCTTCATATTTCATTCATTATAAAAATTATGAGCCAACACATCCAAAACCCAAAATACAAGCATTGGGAGGATGTTCAACATTATCAGGTACATTCAAAAGTTTCCCAGAAAAAGGTATTATGATTTCCATTGTCCAAAAGTAAATTTATTTTACAAATAACTTAGTATTTCACAAGTAATATTCCTATACTCTACAACAACAACAATAACATCAAGCCTTTGTCCCACTACGTGGGGTCGGCTATATGAATCCTTTTTCGTCATTTTATCTTGTTAAAAGTCAAATTCTCATTTAAATCTCATAAAGAAAGATCATTTCTAATATTTTCTAACCAAGTCTTTTTAGGTCTATCTCTATCTTTCTTAACATAAGTCAAATCTGTGAGAACCCTTGGATTTCAATTTTTTTTTGTGTAGTTAGTCTGTACGAACAGAACAAATTGGAGGTTCGTCTGTACGAACTGAACAAAAATTTTTGACAGAGCCTTTCATCCAGGGACAAAAATCAATTATCGTCCGTACGATTTGTGTACAGAACAGATCGTCCCAGTACGAACGTAAATATCTTTTTTCTCTATATAAGGACTATTTGATCATTTAGAGGAGAGAGAAAGAGAAGGAAAGAGAAATGAAAAGCTTGATTTCGAAGGCTGCGGAGCGATTTTCGTCTGTCGACACAATTGAAAGAATTGTTTGTCTCACAGTATGGAATCTGTATCCTATTTCTGATTTCGAAGATTTCATGTTTCGGTATTTTTCTGCTCAGATTTGTATTTCGGTTACTAAAAAACGTGCATATCTTTGTATTGACGAAACTTTTAACGCGTAACTTTTTGTATGTTATAGAGAACATGATTATGAGTATTTTGCGTATTTATTTGTGATTTTTCACCAAATATTTTGAAATCTGCGGGGTTTTTATCGAATATAAAATTATCCAGATGTCGAAAAAATATTGCTTCAGTTTAATAAAAGCTTTAAAATGATGTTTTACACGATTTATGGTAATTTGATAATTTTTTGAAACTGTGTATTTTACAACGACGACATCTGTCTACTGTATGATATCTTAAGGGTTTTCTGAATTAAGCTTAATCATGCACTATTTGTTATAATGCATTAAATGGATGTAAATATGTGCTTGAGTAATAGCTGGTCGCTATTACTGTTATAGTATATTGATAATATTATATGTGTGTGAAACAAACAAGTAAAGACTGGTTGACTCATTGGTTGGAGATTGATTTACCTGTACAGGATGGTGGGCCGACGGGCTTTCCTTTAAATACTGCGATTTTGTGTTATCCTCTACTGATTCACGTGATACACTGATTGGGAGTAGATTACTACTGTGCCGACGGACAAAGGGTGACGACTCTATTTACTGAGCCAAATATTTACTAATACTGATACTAACACTGAAAAACATCGTAATAGCTAGGACTTCTACTTGTTTAGTGTGACTACTGAAATACATGTTTAAAGCATTATTCTTATCATTACTGTACGAATTTATTGATATTGTACGAATTTATCATTACTGTACGGATTTACTGTTACTACACGATTTCACTGTTATTGTATTACCGTTTCTGTCATTGGATTGAGGCACTGATACCACCGAGTCACTATACTGACATTATGCATGTGATACATTGAGCACGTTATATAGATTAAATGGATTACATGTGATCGTAATATCGAATAACTGGATAGCAAGTGTACATTCC